ACACACACACACACACACACACACACACACACACACACACACACACATGATCTTCACCCATGAGTGGTTGTATTGTATTTGGTTGTTGGATTAGACTGTGCCTTGCTTTGCAGAATAAATGTTTTGACATAGGGTTGAGGGTCCTTTGGGAAGTGTCTGTGTCTGTGCTGGGCACATTGGGGTGTTACGTGAAGATGTGGAGCTGTTCAGCTTAAGTGTGATCTGCCTCCAAGTGGGCTGTGAAAACGGAATATAATGTGGAGTTGTTTCTCCTCTTCCAGGGGCAGATACAAATAGCCAAGAGGCGAGTTGTGATGGCATCGCTGTACTTGGGGACGGGACCTTTGGAACAAGAACTGGTAAGGCGTAGGGGCAGATGGTCCCAGCAGCCGCTGGAGCCAGCTTCACAGTGTCATAGCTGACCTCTAGATGTATGTGTGTTAGTAGTGCATGAAGATGGGATAGGAGGCCCAGTTAGGTGCTGGCCAGTACCACCCCAGCCTTACAGGGCTCTCTGGGCTGCTCCACCTGGCTGTAACTCAGAGGCTGTATCAGGTTGATGGCCCGCTCTTGTCTAGTTTCTGAAGAATGGCACCCAGTTTCCAGGAGACTGGAAGAAACCCAAAGGAGGTGCAGGATGTTTCCCTGCCAGTACACTTGTAGGGGTGTGGCCGCACTCCTCCTCTCCTGTGACAGTACAGCTTACAGCTGCAGTGGGGCGTGTCATCTTCTGTGACAGCCACACAACTGAGTCATCCTGACAGAGACCATCTCTGGCTCACAGAACCTGAAATATTTACTCCATAGCCCTTTTTGAAAACGTTTTCTGACTGTGTCCTAGGCAGATGATCCCAAATGCAGCTAGGGTTGTCTGGCTAGCTGCTGGGTTTGCCAAGGCTGGCATTGGGTGCCAGGGCTTGGCCAGCCTTGTTGTACCTGGATGGACTGACATGCCGTAGCTGTTTCTTTTGGTGGAGAAGACAGGGCTGGGAGGAGCTAAAGCCACTCAGTATGTCCAGAGATGCTGGCTGGCTGTGCCTGGATGGGGTTGGAGCCTGTGAACATGGCTTATCTGTCCTGTCCCTAGGCATGTTTTTCTTGGAGAGATGGAAGAAATATTGCCTGTGGTATATGTTTTTCTTGATTTATTATAGTTAGAAACTGGTGGGTAGGAGCTAGGAAGGGATGCAGGCATTGGTGTGTGGAACAAGGGGAAAAAGGTAGGCTAGCTTGAGGACTCCCCATGTTTTTTACTTAGAGCAAGGAGGCCTCCCACTCTTTCCCAATCATCCTGTCAGCTGCCAGCTTGGGAAGCTTATCTCTCATGGGAAAGGGATGTAATGTCTAAACCATAGGCAGGCCGTACCTCAGATTTATTCAGCTTCAGCAGATGCCCACCTAGTACCCCAGCAGGGAGGGCCCTGGTGCTGTGTCTGTCAGAGAATGTTTGTGGAGATGTGAGGGTTGGTTTCTTGGAGGCTGAGACCCAGGTACACAGTGTGTTGCGCACAGTGTAGCCCAGGCTTCTTGGGGCCCAGGCTGGAGAGGGAGTGTGGTGGCTAAGCCCTCGGGGAGAGTGGCTCTGTGTTTCCAGGTAGGGTAGTGAGCTGATTGCTCTCTCAGGTGCACAGACAGCCCTTTGGTCTCACTGCTTTTTCTTTGATTTTTTCTCTTGTAGGTGGATTGTCTGGAGAGCTCCCTACAGAAGTCGTTACAAGCAAAGTTTCCCTCGGACCTCAAGGTCTCCATTCTCTTGGACTTCACTCGGGGCTCAAGAGGTGGGCGCTCCGCACTTCTCTCTGTACATTGGTTTGAGGACCTGCCCAGGGCTGCCTGTTTGTTCCAGTCACCATTCCTTCTGCAGCAGCCGGCTCTCTGGTAGCCCAGCTTGGAATGGTGTAGGGCAGAAAAAGAGCTTTCTTGAGTCAGCTCCTGAGGGTCTGTCTCCTGGCCCTGCTTCCTTTGGGCTTGCTTCATTTGAAGGCTTTGTTTGAGGGTGCGGGGTCTAGGGGACCTGGGGAGTCCGCCGCTCCTAGTGCCTGAGGCTAAGTTCTGGGCACACCTGTTTTTTGGAAGTCAGTCTGCTTCCCTCCCTGAGACTCAGGCCACAGTTCCTGAGTAACTGTTGCAGGCTGTGGAGGAGATAGATCTGAGGGAATGTTGTCAGTCTGCCGCAGTCTGATGGTTTTCTTCTGGAGTCGGGTGAGAGGTCAGGGCATGGAGCGGGAGTGTCACCCCAGGAGGCAGTCGATGGAGTTACCAGAAGGAGGGGAGCTAGTGTGGCTGAGTACCACTCTCCCCTGGAGTGTGATTGGCATGGTCAGGAGCAGCAGCTTTGCTAGACTGCCCAGGAAAAGTGAGGCTCCCAGGGAGGTGGTCTGCCCGGCAGTCAGGACAGCCTCTTTCAGGTAGGAATAAGTCTCTGGTGTTTCCTCTGCCCCTCACGTGCAGGTAGGAAGAACTCTCGCACTATGCTGCTCCCACTCCTGCAGAGGTTTCCAGAGCGTGTACGCGTCTCCCTGTTCCACACGCCGAACCTCCGTGGACTCCTCCGGCTCCTTATCCCCGAGCGCTTCAACGAGACCATCGGCCTCCAGCACATCAAGGTGTACCTCTTTGACAACAACGTCATTCTGAGTGGGTGAGCGCTCTGTCATGCTCTCTAGCTGGGAGCCCAGCGGAAGGGCCAAGGCCAGTCTATCCCCTGTGTCCTTAGAGAAGCTGCTGCTTGCAATGGCATTTGCCATGTAGTGGCCCATCCTTGGAAAGGCTGTTTGGAAGAGCAGCCACCACTCAGTACTAGCACTGAATGCTCTGCTGAGCCTCAGCGCCATCATTTCACTGTTCCTCATGGTGACCTTGCGACTGTGCGCCTCACTTCATGTGAGGAGAGTAATCAGGGAGGACCCCTAACTGCTGGACAGGGCCCGGGAATCACACAATGAGCGATGGGCGCTCAGGTCTGTGGGCTGTGACATCACTGAGAGACAGCTGTGTGGATACAGTGCCTGATCTCTGGCTTCTTTTGTGGGTGCTGTCTCTTGTCTTCCTGTTACTCAGTGTCATCCTGGCTGGTGTCCTGCACATGCCAGGCGCTCAGTGGATGCTCTGGTCATTCTTCACCCACCCACCCCAAGGCCTGGCAGTAGGCCGCACACAGTCTTGGCTGCATCCTCATCTGATTCTCCCTCTCCAGTGCAAACCTGAGTGACTCCTACTTCACCAACCGTCAGGACCGCTATGTGTTCCTGCAAGACTGTGCTGAGATCGCAGACTTCTTCACAGAGCTGGTGGATGCGGTGGGGGACGTGTCCCTGCAGCTGCAGGGCGATGACACGGTGCAGGTTGTCGACGGGATGGTGCACCCTTACAAAGGTAGGCCCCTCCCGCAGTTTCTGCTGCCTGCGCACTCAAGGACAGAGGGCCTGTTACCTGACGAGGGCTGGGAAATGGGGTCGAGGCCGGTAGGTGTCAACTGCTGCCTCTTCCATGTCTGTAAGCAAGGGCCAGCCTGGGATGGTGGGAGTTTGAGCTCAGGTCCTGCATGTTGGGCGGGTGGGCAAGGAGACTGCCCTGTTCTTACAGGAAGCAGGCTGCCCAGTGACCACCCCCCACCTCAGCCTCTTCCCCAAATCTTCCATCATAGCAGCCTCCTTGAGGTCTGTGGCCTCCTGCTTGGAAAGTGCAGTGGGAGAGCTCAGCTCTGCTGCAGGCAAGCCCACGTGCAGCATTTCTGGGCACTTGCATTCCTGTGATTCCTGTGGCGGTGGCTTCTTACAGGGCTACTGCTGAGTGTGCAACCGTCCCCACAGCTTAGGGACTACTTGGGGAAGGGGTGAAACCTGGACCTTGTGAGGAGAAAAGCTCCTCATGTTCTGTGGTCTTCCTAATGACAACCCTGCCTGGTGTCAGGGAGCCAGGACCGCTTAGCCATGCTGTAGTCCACTCCAGGAATGCTTACTGGGTAAACTGTGCCTCAGTTAAACATTCTGTGGAGAGTTTCCTTCCCTCTGTGTATCCTTAGATTTGTCTTTTGGTCCCCAGACAGTATATATTTTAAGCTTGGAGACTGAGCCCTGACATGCTCTGCCAGGGCAGGCACGACCAGTACCTGTGTTTAGGGATGGCTGAGATGTGTCATGTTTGGGGCAGGGGCAGGAACAGGGACATTTTGCTTGGTGTCTGGCTGCTACTCTCTCTGGCAGGGTGGATTCCTTGCACACTGGTATCTTTTCTGTTCTTAGTCCAGCCCTAAGAGGCACCCAAGGGTCTGTCCCTGTCCTCAGTGCAAACAGTGTGGGAGTGTGGTGACCCACAAAGCCCTGCTTCGTGCTGCCGTGCTCTCTGAGCAGCCTTGCCAAGACCTGCTGTCTGAGTCTTCATGCTGACCTTCTGCTTCTGGACTTGGATGACTCTGCTCCCCTGCCTCATACGGCAGTGTTGCTCTGCTCTTGCCCCAGACAGCAGGAGCTGTCGCTTTCCAGCTTTTCTTGTCTAGTGACAGCACCTGAGCAGCATGTCTTTGTCTCCAGTGTGTCTGCAGCATGTGTCTTGTCCGTACGGGCCCCTGCAGAGCCTGCCCTCAGGGCTTCTGCACATGGTGACCATGCTTGCCTGCAGTGTGCCTTCTGTGCTGTGTGTTTTTTCTTTGTTCTTCATGTGAACATATGTGCTTTTTTGTAATTCATCTGCATGTACTTTTAAAATTTCTTTTGAGACAGTCTCAAGGAGCTCGTGTTGGCCTTGACATTATCCTCCCATGTGCTAACCAGCTACCACCACACCTGACATGCTTTTTCTTTATATAACCTTTTTTTTTTTTTTTAAAGATTTATTTATTATTTATACAGCATTCTGCCTGCATGTATGTCTGCACACCAGAAGAGGGCACCAGATCTCAATATAGATGGTTATGAGCCACCATGTGGTTGCTAGGAATTGAACTCAGGACCTCTGGAAGAACAGCCAGTGTTCTTAACCTCTGAGCCATCTCTCCAACCCTAAATAACCTTTCTTACAGAATTACACAGAATGCCTACCAAACAGCCACCACAGAGGTGCAGCTCAGGCCCGTCGTGGCCACCACAAGCTGGGGTTTGACACCCCACGTCTCTCTGTTTATGAGGGTTTTTTTTCTTTTAGTTTCCGAGACAGGGTTTCTCTGTGTAGCCTTGGCTGTCCTGCACTCACTTTGGCCTGCACCACCCGTCTGGCTTTGTTTTGAGTTTTCAATAGCTGGAATTACCTGTGTCATGCCTGCCGTGTCTGCTTGCATGGGTTGTGTGGGCAGGCCCTTGTTGGCCGCTGCCTCCCTTGCTTCTTGAGCTTAGTCTGTGCTCTGTCATTTACACTTAAAGGCACACAGTGCGTGCCTTGAGCCAACAGTCTCCATGCTTTTTTAGCTGGTTTTTAGCTCAGGCTGGCTCTGGACTCACTGTGTAGCCAAGGATGACCTTCACCTCCTGATCCTCCCAGTGCTGGGATTACAGGTGTGCAGCTCTACTCCTGGTTCTCCATGTTCTCTCTCCTCTCTCTGTCTTCTGTAGGCGACCGGGCTGCGTACTGCAGAGCGGCCAACAAGCGGGTCATGGACGTGATCCACTCAGCCAGGACCCGGCAGCAGATGCTGCACGCCCAGACCTTCCACAGTGACTCTCTGCTGAGGCAGGAAGAGGCTGCAGCTGCTGGTGATCGGAGGCCAGTGCCTGACACTTGGATTTACCCACTGATCCAGATGAAGCCCTTCGAGATTCAGATTGATGAGATAGTCACCGAGACCCTGTTGACGGAAGCTGAGCGTGGAGCCAAGGTCTTCCTCACCACTGGCTACTTCAACCTGACCCAGGCTTACATGGACCTGGTGCTGGGCACGCGAGCCGAGTACCAGATCCTTCTAGCCTCACCAGAAGTGAATGGCTTCTTTGGGGCCAAGGGAGTGGCCGGTGCCATCCCAGCTGCTTATGTGCACATTGAGCGACAGTTCTACAGTGAAGTGTGTAGCCTGGGGCAGCAGGATCGGGTCCAGCTTCAGGAATACTGGCGCAGGGGCTGGACCTTTCATGCCAAAGGTACGTGGTGGCTGGTCAGCAGGCCCTCCACACAGTGGGAAGCTCCACATTCCTGGTTCACAGGGGCTGGGTGTTTGTGTCTACATGTGGGAGAGGGCCCTGCCCTGGTTTATCCTCCCAGCTGCCCATGTTGGGACTTCCCGGTCAGCCTATGTCCTGCTTAGGTTTTGATTGTGCAGAATACTTCCCCTTTATGTGAACAAAACTTTAAAAATGGAAATTATTTGGTGGTTTTCTTTCCCTGCCTCTGGTGCTGGGGACCAATCCCAAGACGTTTACTTCTGCTATGACCTAAATTTAGTGCTCTGTCCTTCGGCGGCTGTTTGCCGAAAGAAACACAAAGGGATGTGGAAGGCTTGTTCCGCCTCAGGCGTATGTCTACCTGCTGTGCAGAGGACTTAATACAGATGGCTGCTTTGTTGTGAATAGCCTATTTCTGCTGTCCTGTCCTCATTTTGATGTATTCTCTTCCTGTTTGCCAGTTTCTCTGCTTTTTTCCCTATACCCTAGAAGATGGAGGGTGCATGTTCAGTGTATAGCCCTTACATAGTGGAAGTCATACAGACTTTAGCTTTTTCTCTGCGGTTCTGAGGTGGCGCCAGGGCTGGCCAGGTGTACTCTGCTGAGCTGTGCTCTGGGTCTCCCATGCAGCCCTGTGGTGAAGACTGTGTGTGTGGGTATTTACTCTAAGGAGAGCAGCCCAGCTGAAGCACCCTTCTGCTGCCCACTTTAGGGTGGCTGTGCCTGAAGAACACCTTACCCCCCAGGCTGCTCTTGTGTCTGCAGAGGTATGGACAGTATCTGGGGAGCCCTGGGTTCTTCTGGCCTCTCCAGCTAGTGCACAGAGTTGCTGTGCCTGGCCTCTGAGCACATGTCTGGCTCTTGACATCTGAGAGATCTGCCTCCTCAGGTGGGACTTTTTTTGCTCTCTGGAACCAGTATTTTCTGTGGGGATTACTTTGTTGTTGCTGCTGCTGCTTGAGACAGGGTCACTCTGTAACCCTGACTGGTCTGCAACTCTTTGTAGCCCAGGCTCGTCTGGAAATCATAAAGATCACGTGCCGTCACCTTAGTGCCGCAGTTAAAGGTGTTCGCTACCATGCTTGGCTAGTGGGGATATAGTTTAAGAAGTAATGAAGTCCCTTGCTCTCGAGAGCAGAACCAAGTTTAACGTGGTAGTTTTATTTTACTTTTTTTGCTTTGTTTTGACATTTATTTGTGTGTGTTGGCAGAGTTTGCACATGCCGTGGCATGTTTATAAAGGTTAGAAGACAGTGGTGGGGATGAGTTGTCTCCTTCTAACAGGTGAATTCCATCAATCACAGTTAGGTTTGAGGCTTGGTGGCAAACGTCTTTTCGCACCGACCCAGGGCACTGAGCTTTGCTTTATTTACATTTTGTGGTGCTGGAGTGTGTTCTAGCGCCTTGTGCATTCCTTGAGTCCTCTACCTCTGTCTGAGCGCCATCAGCCCTAACAGGACATAACACCCCAGAGACTTTGGCTCCTCCCCTTAAGAACTGGGAATCCAGCAGGGAATGGTGAAGTGGGTTGCCTGCCTAGCAGGCCCTGCTTGTACATGGACTCCCTCATTCTTGCCCAGGCATGCAGCGTAGTTTATGTGGGAAGCAACTGCCTCATCTTAACCACGTGGGCCAAGTGAAGCCTGTGGTCAGGTATCTCCCGGCAGGTAGAGCTGGCCAGAGGGTGTGTGTGGAAAGTCTTTTCAGCTTGGCCTAGTTCCTTCTGGGAATGATAGAAGAGCCCAAGGGTGGGGCATGGAGGGGAGAGCTGAGCAGCTGGGTGAAGCCAGAGCTTTGGAGAGCCTTGCAGTTCATAGGTCTCTTCACAGCTATAGGCAGGTCAGAGCACATGCCTCTCCAGGCACACACTGTGGCCTCAGGACCTAGCCAGCCTGCAGCATGGGAGGCTGGGTCTCAGATGTGACTGCTGTGCTGCGGGTGTTCCCCTGAAGCCTCACTAATAAATGTGCATGTGTGTGTGTTGACTCCCCAGGTACACCCAACTGGCTTTTCCAGTGTGTCTCGCCTCACCTTTTCCTGGACTGTGCTCTTGGCCTCTGCTCCTTCCTTCCCTCCCTCCCTCCCTTCCTCCCTCCCTCGCTTCCTTCCTCCCTTCTGCTTGTCCTAGTGTGGGTGGGACCCTGCCACCTGTGAGTGCTGGATTAGTGGGAAGGCATGGAGAGCCTGATAACTGGATCTTAGAGTGTGAGTGAGCGAGTGAGTAAGTGAGTGTGTATGTGTGAGTGTAAGAAGCGGGAAGGAGGAAGGGATGGTAGAGCTAAGTGGGGGTAGATGTTGAAAATTTGGTTCCGAAATAAGGTTCTTAATGTGACCTGAGCTACTTGTTGTGTAACTGAGGATGACCTTGAACTTCTGATCCTCCTCGGTGTTGAGATTTCAGCTGGCTTGAAGCAGTTTCTTCTGAGTAGAGTTCTTGCCCTAGAGCCAGGAACCGGAGGTCAGAGGTTACTCTGCCAAGGTGAAAGGCCAGCACCCTTTCCTGTTCAGTGGCTGCTGTTGTAGGTCACAGCCTTTTTTGGAACACCTGCTGACAGTTCCAGCAGCCTGTGTCCACAGGGAGCTTGTGGGTTTTGATGGTTGGTGGACCATTTCCTTCAGGGCCTGTGCTGCATACAGGACGTGGGCCTGTTTGTTTGTGTCTATTTTGGGCCCCTGGAAAACTCCTGCTGATTACCATGTACCGGGGTTCTCTTGCCAAGCTCCTATAGGACAAGCTCTGGTCTCAACTCTTCCTGATCCCAAAAAGCCTCGGGTGAAGGGCAGCAGCAGCACTGTGGGGCCTTGCAGCTTCCTTGCAGAGCTCTGGAAGGCTGTGGTTTGCTCTGTAGTCTTTGCTGGTGGGCTCTGTGCAACTTTGTGACTCCAGCAGTGGGGGCAAAAGTAGGGATCAAGGCTAGCCTGGAGTGGATGGTGAGACCTGCCTAAACAACAGCAGTACATGATTACTCGCTGCTGCCTTGCAGGGAATTTCATTGCACCCTGATAGAGTTCATGTCAGTCACAGGCCTTGCTGACATCTTAACACTCTTTATTTTCCAGGGGTTGCCCAGTGTCTGGATGCAGGCTTTGGACTCTTCTTTTGTAGCATGGCTTATCCATTGAGTTCTTACGCAGATGTTTTTGGAAATGGCTCCTAGAAGCGTGGGTCACAGAACTTCGGTAGAACCTTCTGTAGAATGGGATTATGGCACAGTATTGTCTGGAGAGAGCAGCAGCAGTTCACCTGGCGGGTGTGTGTAAGTGACCAGCAGCCCACAGGCAGTGAGGGCTCCCTGGGAGGAGGCTCTGAGCAGTGGATGCCTGGTGTGCACACAGGAGATGCCTGGGATCCCCGGATGGATGCTCTGGCCTCATCACCTGCACACAAAGCGTCTCAGCTCACAGTGGTGGTAGCTAAGTCACACAGAGTGCTGTGGAGCATGGCACTTCCTCTCACCAGCCAAGAGCACTGTGACCTGTGCTGCCGTTAGGGGTGAGGGGTCCCTGTCCATAGTAGAAAGGTGAGAGGCTTGGGGAGAGCTCAGAGCTGGCGTCTTTGCCCACATTCAGGTGCAGGCAGGTTCCATCCCCAGCACTGCAGAGCCTCGCCTCCCCGCCCTGTCTGGAGTATAATTTCTACTGCGTATGTCTTGCTCTCCCACCATCAGGAAGCCAAACGCTTGTGAACTCCTAGGTGTCCATCCTAAGCTGTCTGTCTGAAGCTCTGTTGCTGTGCCTCTGCTGAAAGACAGCTCTGTCCTCGCCTGGGGAGAGGCCTCGGGAGCAGGCTGGGCCACTGGCTGGCGTTTGCTGGTCTCTGGCATGGCCTGTAGGTATAGTGGGACAGGGCTCTAGGGCTGGGAGAGTATCAGTGCATCTCAGATTGTCAGTGGATTTGCCTGGCAGGTACTGTGGGTTCACTGGCGACCCACCTGGTCCTGGTGGAGCCTGGAACATGGGTGTTAGGGACAGGTGTTAGTCCGGAGGAGTCTGTGTGGAGCTCCCCCATGCTTACCTTGGTGCCCAAGGGGTAGCTTTAGCCGCACCTGGGTGTGAGGCACAAGTGTGAAGTCAGTTGTGGCTCAGCTCTGCCCCATGGTGAAGCCTGTGGGGTTGTTCAGGCCATCACTTTGACTTCTTGCCCTGAGCAAGACATGTGTCAGTCTTGTGCCTGTTCTGCCCTGAGAGCTAGCAGCCCTGTCGGGCAGGGTCCACACCCGTGGTCTCTGTGTACTAAGCTGCTCTGTCCATCTGCCAGGGCCACAGGCTCAGCAGAGGATGGGGGGTTGGAAGAGGTGAAGGAACCTTTGTGGAAGATTGGAAAGGACTGAGCATATTGATTTCTTTTGGATGAAGTGTTCTAGATTAACAAAACCCTTTGTGTGGTCAGGGATCTTTGGATTAAAAGACTTCCCGCTCTGTAGATGGAATCTGTTAATGACTGACAGGATGCCATTATTTTTATTGTCTTCCCGACAGGCTGGTTGGCATCTTGCCTGAAGGTGAGCTGATGAGGCAGCCTGGCAGCCCCACCCTGTTCACCTGGGCTCCATGTGGGGTGACTGTGACCTGGAATCAGCAGATGTATTTTGGGGTAGTGGGGGCTGTGTGGTGCACGTGGCTACCTCAAGCAGCAGACTCCAGTCCTGAGGCCTCAGAATCCCTCTGACACCAGAATAGAGGACTGGTGCTCATCTGTGGGAGATCTGTGATGTCTTCTGGGACCTCAGAGACTGGAGGGTCTCACAGAACACTGGGGCTTTGAGAGGGTCTGGGAGCTCATGTGTCTGAGAGGTCCTCAGAAAAGATTGCCCTGCAAGTGCAGAGCTCCTGATTGGCTCTTAGGGTTATTTGTTGTATTGCTGTGGCACCCGTGTGCCTTGCATGGACCGTGGAAGCACGGAGCTGGAAGAGGGGCCTGTACAGATTGTGGCAGGCGAAAACCCTAAACAGAAGGGGTCCACACTGGTAGGGGTCTGGCTCAGGGAGGGTCTCGCAGTGCAGAGGCCTGAGTGACGAGGGCACATCATGCCTGTCCAGGGCAGATGGGACAGTGAAGTCCTCAGGCTTCCGCTTGCATTGCTGAATGCAGTGGAAGTACAGTCTGTGCCAGGGAAGAGGGTTGCCAGAGCCCGTCTGAAAGTGCTGGAGGCCTCTGTTTTGTGAGGTATAAGGTACCTAGAAAAGGATGGATATGTGGCCTCACTTGTTTTTGACACGGTCTCATTCTGCAGCCCAGACAGGCCTTTGATTTAAAAAGCCTGGTGTGCTGGTGCACACCTTTACTCTGAGCACTTGGGGAGGTAGAGACAGGCTGATCACTGTGAGTTCGAGGCCAGCCTGGTCGACAAAGTTCAGGACAGCCAAGGCTACACAAGGAAACCCTGTCTTGAAAAACCAAACCAAATGAAAAGAATCCTTCCCTAGCCTCCTGAGTATTCAGATTGCAGGTGTGAGCCACCACACCTGGTAAGGTGGCTCCCTTTTGAATAGACAGAGTGAGGAGACAGCAGGGTTACTTGGCCTCTGAGTCTGGGTCACCCTCTAGTGTTCCAGGCATGGCAGTAGCTGCATTGACCTCCCTGTTCTCTGGGGCTCAGGACTATTGAGTTTCCCCTTGGCTGCAAAACACCCTAGCCCCAGACTGCTCCCCAAAACACTTCCCTTCCCCAGGTCAGTGGTTCCTGGAATTATAGAGGTGTTGAGCACAAAGGTCAGGCTTTGGGGTTAGGAATTGGGGCTTGATGACTGCTTTACAGGCCCCGTGCTGGAAATGTGCTTCCTCCTCCTGCCCTCAGAGCCTCCCCTGCGTACGCAGAGGGGTGCATGTAGAGGCAGCTGCAGCTGCTGGGCACGCTAAGGGCCCAACCAAGGGAGGGAGATGAGTCTCCAGGGCACCAGCCAGTGGGTAGAGCTCCTGATTTGGAACCTAAATGAGGAGAGTCCTGGCATGCTGGCCTCACAGGCTTCCTGGACTCAGCAGCAGTGACCACTGCCCAAAACATGGGCAGTGCTTCATCTGTCTCTCTTTGGCTAGTCTCTCAGTCTGAGCGTGTGTGCGTGCTTGCACATTGTCTTTTGCAGCCTAGGCTGGCTGTGAACTCTTGATGTAGCTGAGGGAATCTGACCTTGAACATCCATTCCTATTTTACCCATTTTGTAAGTTTTGGGATTATAGGCCTAGCCCCAGCTAGCCTGCAACTTGAATCTATAGCTCAGAGTGGTCCCAAACATGAAATTGAGGGCAGGGGCTGCAGGTATGTGCCACCATGCTCAAGCTGCTTTTCAGCTTTTTTTGAGTCAGGGTCTTTTGTATCTCGGGCTGGCCCTGAGCTTGGTTTGTAGGCGCTGGCAAGATGACTCAGAGGCAGGGATGCTTGTGCAAGCCTGATGACCCGAGCTCTATCCCCAGGACCACGTAAAGGTGGAAGGAGAGAAGCAACTCTCAGTATTGTGTTTTTTTCCTTGTTTGTCTTGACTTTGATATTCGGATCCTCCTGCCTCCGCCTCCTGAGTGCTGGACTCCCACTGTATGCTGAGATCAAACCCAGGCCTTCCTTCTGCAGAGTAGGCCAGCACTCTGCCAACTGAGCCACACCCTCAGCTTCCAGTTTCATCTTGATTGAGGAACAAGACTGTAGGGCCACTAGGTAGGGCATTCCCAGGCCTCAGGCCGAAAGGGTCTCTGGGCCCTGAGTCCCCGTCATTGTGTTATGCTAGCTTTGCATATTGTGGTGAGTGTCAAGGCCAGTAGTGGCTGCAGTGGCTTCCTGTCCCTAGATGTCCCTGGTATTCAGTGCTATAGTATTTTTCTTGGCTAGGAATAGCCTTTTCCCTGTCCACTCCCCAAACCTCTTTTCCTTCTTGGACTTGTCTTTCTTGCTGGTTCCTGGAATGAGGGACACATTAAGGTCACGGGTCAGGCTCTGGGGTGAGGAGCTGGGGCTTAACAGTAGGTTAGAAATGTCTCTAGAGAGGGTCCACATGAAGGTCAGCCTAGGAGCTTGGGGTTGGTGATGGTAGGCACTGGATGGTCAGCCTAGCTGTGTGAGGAGGAGTGGAGGGAGCGGTGGTCTTAGCTTTCCCACAGGGTCATAGTGCCTCAGGGTTTGGTGCTTAGGGAGTGAGTGCTAGAAGAAAATCTTACTGTTCAGATATGGAAATCAGCCTGGCCCACCGTGGTGGGGTGTGAGGTGTCCCTCTTCCTTCTTTGAGCAGGATCAGGAAGGTGGCTACCAAGCAGATCCAATGTGGGAAGCAGAGGCAACGGTCCCCACGGTGGCAAGTGGAAGGGATGCTCTGTCTTCTGAGACTTCTAGGATTTCTGTCTCGGCTTCTTTATCCCAGTTCCATGACCTAGAGAAAGCTGAGGTGGGGACAGAGGGAAGCTTAAGTACATGAAAAGCCAGAGGTGTGGGAGAGCAGACAGAGCCTGGGTCCCTGGGTAGGGCGAGTCGTCTGGAGCAGAGCTGCCAGCAAGCGGGTGTGGAGGGACACCTGTCTCTCTGGCCCCTTGATTTACTGTGTAAGTAGAGGCCTGCTGATAGAGCAGGCAGTGGGCTTTGATGTGGCCTTCTAGGGCAGCACACTAGCTACAGGAGTAAGCAGCAGCCCTTGTCAGCTCTTGCCCAAGGTGTTCTTGTAAAGTCTGTGCTATGTGGACATGTGGAAGGGAAGCCATCTTCTGGCGTAGCAGCATGTGTGTCACACACAGGCCACCGTGTCCATGATGTCTATGGGCCTCTGTGAGCGTCCTGTTGATGGAGGAGCTGAGGTGGAGGCTGCAGGGAGCTGGCCCAGTGCAGGCCTGTGGAGGCCTTTGAGTGCTCCATCTCCCTGGAACTGGGTGGGTTTCCCCGATAAGCCTTCTCTGGCTAGTGAGGAGAAGGGTAGAAGCAAGGCTAGGCCTGGGGAGGGTGCTCAGGACTAGTTCTTGGTAGGCTAGGCTGGGAAGCCTTGGAGCTTGAGAGCATGGAAAAGGGTGCAGAATGGGACCTGCTGTGGGCGTAGCTGGTGGTACTTATGATTCTGCTAGAACCCATGACCTTCATTACAGAAATGCCCCCCCCCCCCGTGTAGTGTGACATGGCAGATGTCCCCCTTTGTAGTGTGATATGGAAGCTTCTGTGGCACAGTGCCCTCTGGTACCCACCAGCAGCAGTGTTCCTCTGTGTGGTACAGATGGTAACTAGCGAGACAGGTGAACTCCTGGGTGTGCTGAAGAAGAAAAGGTGGACAGCTTGTGTGCAGGCAGACCTGGTCCTACCAAATGTGTCTACCATACCCACGTGATAGCCACCCCTGCTGGCTAGGTAGGCCAGAGCCCACTTGCCTGCTTGTTCTGGGCTCCCAGGAGAGGGATAGCAGGTTCTGGCCTGCAGGGACCTTGAGCTGCAGTTTGCCAGCAGATGCTTCAGGCCAGTGAAAGAGTTGGGGATATAGTGGCCTCTGGAGAGGAGCCTAGGGAGCAGTTAGGGCCAGAGGTGTCAGAGAAGACCCCAAGGAGTTAGCCCTCTGCTAGGGACATGGCCCACAGCAGAAGTGGCAGAGAGCAGAACGGCCTTGCACTCAGCGGCCTGGAATACCCTGGCAGGAGCAGGCAGGAGGGAGCCTGGTTTGGCCAGCCGCCTTATGTCGCCCCTGTGGGCTGCTTTCCTCCTAGGTTGAGACAGTGTGTGGTGAAGACCTGGCAGATGCTGAGCTCACTTCCTGTCTGCACGTTTCCTTTTCCTGCAGGCCTCTGGCTGTACCTGGCAGGGAGCAGCCTGCCCTGCCTCACGCTGATTGGCTCTCCTAATTTTGGGTACAGGTCAGTTCACCGGGACCTGGAGGCCCAGATTGCCATCGTGACGGAGAGCCGAGCCCTGCAGCAGCAGCTCCATCAGGTGGGTTGAAGTGGTGGGGGTTCTTTGGTACGTGGGGTGCAGTCGGTGCTGTCACTGTTGACCTCACCGGAGTCTCAGTTACAACAGTAAATGAGACTCAGCAGAGTGAGAGAGACCCTGTGTCCCTCAGGTCTAAGAGAGACTTTTGACCTCACCTGGGGACTTTCTCTCTTTCTGTGCTAGAGAGGCCACCATTTCTTCACTGGGGCGTGGGTATTGCAGAATGGGGTCCAGTGATAGGGAATCCCAGGGTTGGTAGTGGCTTTGGCCCTCCCTGTGGAGCAGGCAACAGAAAGCTCAGGACTCACACATGCTATGCTGTGAATTGTTCTGCTCTGTGCTCTTGGAAGCTTGTGCCCTATATAGGAGCCCCTGTGTGGTTAGACCCTTGTTCCCAGGCAGGCCTCAGGAGCCCCACCCATTGGCTTTTATTTTGATATTTTTGTGTGTGGTTTTTCCAGACAAGGGTTCTCTGGGTATTCTTGGCTGTCCTGGACTTGCCTTGTAGATCAGACTGGCCTGAGACTCACAGAGATCCCCCTGCTTGTGCCTCCCTGAGTGCTGGGATCACAGGTGTGTGCCACCCTCGGCCTATCTTGACTATTTTTAACTGAATATATCATATGTGGGTGAGATATGCGTGAATGGGATGTGCATGTGGCATGGTACCTGTGTGAAAGTTAGAGGTCAGTTTATAGAGTGATTCTCTTACTGTGGACTTAGAGAGCGAACTGGTGTCTCAGGCTTTTGGGGGTCAAGCTCTTTATGTACGCGCTCCGCCAGCCGGCATACTGCCTTTTAGATTTCGGTGTTTGAGAATCACAGCTACCGAACTCTCAGAGCCTTGCTGATGTGTGAGGAAGTGGCCATTGCTTTGTTCTTTGGAGCTGCTACTGTGCCTGGGAACCTTGTCACTGAGGGCCAAGTGCCAGTAAGGGCTTTGTGACTGGGCAAGAGGAAGTCAGAGCAACAGCCATGCTCTGTGGCCAGTGGGGTGACTGGGTGTGCTAGCAGATTTCCTTCTGAGAAAGGCTTATGGCAAATGACTGGGGAAGCTCTCAAGCTCAGGGCTTCTCATGACAGAGCAAGTGCTGGCCTTGGAGCCAGGCTCTGGGGACGGGTTGAGCTTGCGGCTCAGGACAGTGGGGTCTCCTGGACTGTTCTCACTGGTGCAGAAGCTGTGTGTGCAGAGGTCCATGGAGAGAGCTGTTAGTGATGCTGGCCCAGCCAGGATGAGTTCTGGGGAGACCTGGGCAAGCACGTGCCCTGGGTCCTAGTACTGACCAGGCTCCGCTTCCCGAGATGGGGAGCTAAACCCACATCCTGGATCCTGAGGAAGGACAGGCTGCTTGTGGTTGAGTGATTTTTCAGATGACATACTTGGGATATTTTCATCCCAAACCTGCCTCCCAGGGGCTTTGGATGGTGGGAAGGTGGCAGCTCATGCTGCTGGAGTGCTTCCACCCTGACGGTGTATTGATTCAGGGTCTGTAGAAATGTGCTTCCAGATGGGTCCATTTGCTTCATACTCTTTCAGGCCTGCATCGGGCCTCCTTACCCTTCAGTGTCTGCTGCTGAGTGCCATGCGCTGCTGCGCATGCCCAGCCTCGGCTTGTGGTCCCTGTGCTCAGAAGGTCTGCTAGAGTTCTCTTGGGACCCAGGGAAGGGCCCTGTCTGTATATCAAGCCTTGAAAATGGAAGATATTTTTATCAGAAGCCTGAGTCCCCCTCTTGTAGAGCAAACAATAAAAACTGAAAGCTTCCTGGTTTTGTTCAGAGAACACAGCTTTCCACTTGTGACCTAAGACAGACTCCTGGCACAGCGCTGTGACCTCTACCAGCTGACTTCCTTCTCCATCCCTGTCGTGGCGTCTGTGAGGACACCGAAGCGTTTCTGGTAATCTAATTGAGATCCTGGCTGAGTGTTTACTAAAGAGCAGAGCTGGGTCTGTGGAAACTTGCAGACCAGTCCCCTCCCCCAGACCAGAGCTGGCTCCTCTGCAGGCACAGCCCTTAGAAGGGTAGACGGGTATCCATGACGTGCCGGAACTGTCGTGATGGGGGAGCCACTGTGGGGACAGAGTTTGAAAGTTTGCTGTGGACAGAGGCCTCAGGATGCTGCCTTGGTGGTGAAGGTCACAAGTTTGGGGAAGGTGCACGAGAGGTGAAGCCGGGCCCTGGGTCACCTCTGTGTGAGCAAAGCCTGTGGTACCCGTGCAGGGTCTCAGGTGTGGCATCGTCTCACTGTGCTGCTTCGGGGAACTGCTGAGGAGTCTGGCCCTTCCTGTGTGGGATGAGGCCCTGTGAAGTTCTGTCAGGGCCTCCTATGCGTGCCGCTGCTCACCAAGCTGTGACCCTCGGCACGGGAGTCAGTGTGGCTCCCACTGCTCAGGGGAACCTCTGCCAGCGTGGGAGGGCATAAGAGGACAGCATTGGTAAGGTACCAACATGCTGCCTACATGGTACAGTCATACAGCCTAGCACGCTTGGAAGCAAGCTTATCCATGTTAGTTTTCTTGTTACCACCCTGTGTGCCCATGCATGCGTGCCACAGTGTGGTGCAGAGGTCAGAGGCAACTTGCAGGAGTCGGGAGCGGGTGTCTACCAGCAGCCACCCGCCAGTCCGCGTGTATCTTCTGCATCTTCTAAACACTGTGTGACAGAAGAAACGGTCTTCACGGAGCTCACTTGGATTGTTCGGTCTTTGTTCTGGGAGCCTGTGGAGAGCCCGACTCCCAGCCTTCCACCCTGGATGTACTACATCCAAGGAGCCAGCTGCTGTGGATGGGAAATACTTAGGGCAGCTGCTGTCTGACTTAGATGTGCTCAGGCTTTGTCTTTTGTTCCCTGACAAGTGAAATCAAACGTTAGACATGGCACCGATTACATAATATTTACAATTATGTTAGATATTTTAAATAACCCTAATTGAAAAGTCTGTGAGACTGGGCTAGAGATGAGAGTGTGTTCTGCTCCTGTGGAGGACCCAGCACCCACATCTGGAGGCTCCCAACTGCCTGTAACGTCAGCTCCAGGGAATGCCCTTCTTCTGGCTTCATGTGCACTGCATGCACCCATATCTGTGTGCACATACATATATATATATAAAGTATGTGTGAGAGGCAGGACAGATGGTTCGGGCCTGTAATCCCAGCTAAGCTATGGAAGCTGACACAGAAGGACTGCCCGTTCATGGTCAGCCTAGGTAGCTTAGCGAGATCCTGTCTCAGAGGTTTAAAGACATGGGCAACTGGAACCGTGGCTGGGTGGTGGAGCGCTCACGGAGCACGCATGCTGCAGGCCCAGTTGACAGCACTGAAAGGAGAGACGCAGACCTACACCAGCATGCATGCTCCACCGCTGGGCTCAGGGCCTGGAGTGCCTGTGGTGGCCATGGAGCGGAGGGGCTAGCCGCATGGTGCATGTATGTCTCGCGTCTAGTTCTGCCACTTCGTCACTTTCCTCTGTGACATTGCTGTGTCATCGGGTTAATTTAGAGGCTAATGTTGGATATTTAGTTGGTAAACGTGGCCACCACAAGTGACTGAAGATCTCAGTGTGTGGGTGAGAGCGGAGTGGCTTTCCTGGGATATAAGTTCTGGCGAGTGTCACTTTTCATCAGTCGCACTGGCTGATACTAACAGCACAGAGTGACCTGCAGTTTACTAGAGGGGAAACCGCCGTGTTTAAAAGACTTTGTCTGTTGGTGATGGAACTCAGGGCTGTGTACTTGCTGGGCTACTACTACCCCTGACACCCCACACCAGACCCCTGTTTCTTGTTACTTTAATTTATGCTAATTTATTTCACGAGGGGTAAACATCTAAAATAGTTTTCCCACCAGCTATAATTCTTCAGCCAAATCAGCGATGTGCAGAGATGGAGCGCCTTGGCGGAAGTCCTCAGGAATCCGTGTGGATGCCATCTCAGACTGGCCTGTGGGCAGCGCTGGTGTGCCAGGTGGTGGTCTGGGAGTCAGGGCCTGACTGTCCCTTTGTCTTCCTCAGGAACAAGAGCAGCTCTACCTGCGGTCGGGTGTGGTGTCCTCTTCCACCTTCGAGCAGCCGGGTCGGCAGGTGAAGCTATGGGTGAAGATGGTGACCCCGCTGATCAAGAACTTCTTCTGAGCACAGGCAGGTATTTCAGATTGGGCACTCAGAGTAGGTCAGAGGTGTTCCGTGATGGTGTCTTTGAGGGGACCCCATGGCCTGGTCTGTCCACTGCTTCCTTCCAAACGGCACAGAGCATAGTTTTATGGTTGTGGAGGGCAGTTTTGAAGCAGGTACTGAATGTTGCAGTTTGTTCCCGGCCTGGGCCACCTGCGTGCAGTGTGGCCAGCAGCACCTGTCCCCTTCCGATCTCCCTGCTCAGGTGTCTAGGGAGGCCCTGGAGTGAGGGCACGGTGGGGGTTCTTTCCTTCCCTGCTCTCTGCTGAGCATGGTGTGGCCCTGTGGGAGGTGGCACGCATGGGTGGAAGGGCTGTTCTAGAGCGAGCTGTGGTCGTGCGTGTGCGTTCATTCATGCATGTATGCGATGGAACAGAGCACAACACAGTGGATGACTGTCTCCGACATGCAGCAGGTTAGTGTGATATTGGAGAGGCAGTTGGATGTTCCCATTGGTCACGGGATCCATGCCGCCTGCCCAGGAGCCTGAGCATTGGAGCATATGGCAGCTGTGCTTGAGCTGCCCTGCTGTGCTGGCCACTGTGAGCCATGGGGTCTCTGGATGCATGGTGCAACCTTGAGGGCCAAGGGCTCTGTCTCTGGGTCCTTGCTTCTCCTGCTCCTTCTTCATTTTCACTTTATTTATTTACTTTGAGACAAGGTCTCACTAGCCCTGGCTGGCCAGGAGCTCACAGAGATCCACCTGCCTCTGCCTAGGACTGCTGGAACTAAAGGGCTGCACCACCCCACCTGGCCCAACACTTCATTTGTTTGTTTTGTTTTTTTGAGACAGGGTTTCTCTGTGTAGCCTTGGCTGGCCTGGAACTCAAAAGATCCACCTGCCTCTGCCTCCCAAGTGCTGGGATTAAAGGCATGGATCACCAGGCCTAACAACAATCATTTATCAAAAATCTTTTTATCATCTGGGCATGGAGGCACACATCTTTAATCCCAGCACTTGGAAGGCAGAGACAAGTGGATTGAGGCCAGCCTGGTCTACAGAGTTTCAGGATAGCCAGGGAAATTACACAGAGAAACCTTATCTCAAAAAACCAAAACAAAACCCAACAAACCCAAACCAATATCATACAAATTCAGAGTGAAATAGCTCTCAGGCATCAGCCATGTGCCGCTCACCCCACCTCCCTCTCTAGCAACTGCTCTGTCCTGATGACACACATTCATGTCTCTGAACCCAAGTACACACAATTTCTCCCTTGAGGTGGCTCCAACCAGCATAATAATTTATACAGATTAATTCCTAACCAGATGATGTAAACCCAGTGAAATAAGCCCAGGCTGACTTTGAACTCATGGTGATCCTTTTGCCTCAGCTCCTCAAGTGCTGGGATTACTAGCATGCACCACTTGTACCTGGCTCATTTTAGTGTTTTTTGGTTTGACATGCGATCCAAAGCTGCTGGTGCTGAGTTTTTGTTTTTGTTTTTGTTTTTGTTTTTGTTTTTGTTTTTGTTTTCTTTTCAAGGCAGGGTTTCTGTGTGTAGTCCTGGCTGCTCTAGAACTCATTCTTTATAGACCAGGCTGGCCTTGAACTCAGAGAAATCCAACTGGCTGCTTGCGTTAAATTTGCGCCACCACGCCTGGTCAGGTCTTTGGCTTATATGTGCTGGTTCACATTTGGGGTACCTACTCGCAGCAGGTCACCTCAAGTGCACACGTCCTGTGTACTAACAGAAGCCTGCTCGACAATCCTGTGCTCCCCAGGGTCTCTGGGAGGAAGCCTGGAAGTTGCTGCCAGTACAGCCTGGTGTGCAAAGAACAGCCATGGGGGAGCCCCACAGCAGTGCTGGCACTTCTGTTGAGATCGAAACATCTGTGGCCGGCGTCTTGCCACCACCGCTTGGCTGTAGCAGGTGGGGTTCCAGAGTCAGGAACACCTAGCCTTAGCCAGGACTGTGGCCCAAGGCCACCTGACAGCAGCATAGGAACTGCAAGGATCTGACTGGGTTTCTGTCTGCAGAGGCTGGCTTACACAGCATCTACATTCCTGCACTTCTGCAGGCAGAGTAAGCAGCGCTGGGCTAAGTAACCGTCTGCTCCCTTTGTCACTGCTCAGGCCTTTTGGGAATCCTGGGAGGCTCTCCCAGATCTGGGCCCTAATTCTGACTCTAGCACTTTGTTCCAGATCCCTACAGGTAGCTTGGCCTTTCGGAAGTTTGGAGATAATTTTGTCAGCTACCCACAATTTGTATGTGTGGAATAAATTACTGGTTTATTTCAGGCTTCAAAGGCAAAATTGGAAAAACTCATTTTATTATGAGGGATTGGAACAAGGTGCTGGGAGCGTCTGGCTGTGCAATCTGAGGAACTGCAGTGACCCCTCCTGGCCAGTGGAAGGCACTTCCCCACAGCTCGGGTTTCTTGAAACTCCTGTCCTTCCTTGGTCCCCAGGGTTAGTTAGGTTCCCTCTGTCCCTGGTTGGGGCTCAGGTGCCAGGGCCTCTTTCCTTAGGTGACTGTCCTTCAGTGACGTGTACCTTCACAGAAGATCAGACAAGCTGGTGTGGACAGTGTCCTACTTCTTTGCTTTCAAAGTCTTAGAAACCTGGAAAGTGGGGCCTTGTTCCACAGGAAGCCCCTTTGCTGGAGTTACAGGCTTTGCTGGCTGCTTCCGATCACCCTCTTGTCTTCCTCCCCACCTCCTGCCGGGCCATCCTGCTACATGTCCGTCAGTGCTGCCAGTCTGTGAAGCCTGGTTTCCTTCTCTTTCCTGCTCATGGTTCTCATGCAAACACATTTCTCAGCCAGCCAGTGAGCAAGGCTTCAGCCCACCTGTCTGCCCATGATAACCTGGGGCAGGTGCCTCCCGGGTGAAGAGGGCTGCTGAAAAGTGTTACAAACTGCTGCTGGCTATGCTGGGCTCCCAGGTGTGTTTGTGTCAGGTGGGAAAACACCACCGAGTAGCCCTTGCAGGCACCCATAGTTGGTGTGGAGTATTCATAGGGCCATACCTGCAAGAAGTGTGGAGTATGGGCCGAGGGGTCGGGGGAGTGGAACAGAAAAGAATCCCAGGCCTGGGCCCGGAAAGAGGGTGCTGCTTGCCTCACTGCAGGCAGGAGAAACCCCTCACCCGGAGCACAGCATGTGGCAACAGTCTCTTCCTCACTGTGTCTGTGAAGTGGCTTCAGTGGGAAAGGGTGGCTGGCGCCTGTGTCATGGTTTGCTCTTTGCAGTTCTGGGACAGAGGTTGGGGAGGAAGACGTTGAAGTTACAACAGGCTTGCTTGCTGAGGCGCTTTGTGTGCAGTACCTACTGCTTGCATGAGATGGGCTCTCTGGAAGTCAGATTCAGTGGTTGATTCTCAGGACGTGTGCTCCTAACTGTTGGGAATCAGGCTTCACTGCTGTCTGTGTTAGGCCCTGGATGATGTCAGGCATCGAACGGACTCAGACTGGCACAGTGACTGCAATTGTTTTAATCTGTTTCACCCACCTCTGCCCTCCACATAGTCCAGTTTTTAAGAAGTCAAAAAACTGGCACTTTCTCTAAGAAGTGACAGTGTCAAGGCTAGTTTCCTGCTAGGACCCAAGCAGGGCCGGGCTGCAGTCTGGGCCTGCTGCAGGAGCAGCTACGCCTGCAGGAGCAGCGCCACTGCTGCCAGGATCCACTTGGCTGCCTTCTCTTTGGTCTTCAGGTTAAAAGTCCAGACATAGGTGGGTCCTCGGATGCGCGTCTTGTACACGGGACATTCATAGATGTTCTTGGTCTCCATTCGGTCCACAGGAATGGCCTTGATGAAGATGACGGGCATGACTGGGGTCAGATCCTTCAGCCTTGCTTCAGCAATAACTCCGGTCTGGGTGTCCCAGCGAGCTCCTGTGGGGACAATGTAGCTGGGTAGTCTGGGCGCCTTAGGGAGGCTGACTGTGAATAAGGGAGGCACCCGTAAGGAGAGAGGCCTGGCCTCCAGCCTCCAATCTTTTCAGAGATGGGCCAGCTAACCGGGAGCCCTGAAGACTTCAGGCCAGGTGCCAGGGTCTAAGAGTGCCAAACAGAGGCATGCACTGAGCACTTGGAGTCATGCTGCCATAGTGGCTGTGAGGCTGCATCTTTTCAGAGCTTCATCTCCGCCTGCTAAAATGTCAGTGGCAGAGACACTGACCGCAGCTGAAGACTCCAACAATACTCCTTCCTGACCTTTCATGTGTAACGTCTACCCTCATGTACATAGGGAATCAGTTATCTATCTGTCCTTGTCCTTAAGCAAACTGCTGTCTCCCCTCATCCTATGTATCCAGTGGTGTCATGTGTCCTGTGTGGCATTCGAATCAATAAACATGGAGAATGGCTGCTTTGTATTGTTTCAGTTGATGTGGGGAAAGGGGGCATGAACCTTAGGAGGTCTGTTTGGACATAGCACACGTGGAACTGGTTGGAGTGATGCTGAGAAAACAGCCTTCTTGTGCTTCTGCCTGGCTGGAAAGTGGATTCTAACAGGTACCTTTCCCCCTTCTGCCTTCCTGGCTTGGTGGGCAGCCTGGCCAGTCTTCCCCCTTGAAGCCTTTGCCTGGGGGAACCTCAGTAGGAGTGCTGGCAGAGGTGGGATCCCGGCTGAGGGTCAGCCCACATGCCTGGAGCTGCCGCACTCCTCGGTCTGCTGGCTGAGTAGAGGTTTGGTATTTTTGGAAGGGGGGTGGAGTTTGAGACAATTTTTCTGTGTAGCCCTGGGTGTCCTGGAACTCGCTTGGTAGACCACACTGGCCTCAAACTCAGGAGACCCACCTGCCTCTGCCTCCCAAGTGCTGGGGTTAAGGGTGTGCTCTACCACACCCTGCACACCACATCCTGAAGGTTTTGCCTTGTTTGAGATGGGATTTTCTCACTGGCCTGGGAACTTGCCACTCACGGAATCCCAGCAGTCTTCCCAGCCTCCTCCCGCCAGTCCCTGGTAGGGCTCGGTGTGGCTCTAAGCCCACCCCGCCTCCTTGGCAGTGTGGTGGTAGTGGCTCCCGACCCTTCCCAGACAGAAGGTGTTACCTTCCATGAAGAGGCCGTACACGTAGGAGCCCTCTCGGGGAGGAGCCGTCATGTCCTCCCGGCTCTTCTTGGTCACCTCCACAGACAGACACATCTTGTCCAGGGGCCACTCGTTTTTCCTGGCCATGGACTGCATGATGGCAGTGAGAAACGACTGTGGGTTGAAGAACCCAGCCAGCCACACAGTGGTGGGCAGGACGAAGTCTGTTGTCCAGGCTTCCAGCTCCTAGAACGAAACAGGAACCTCTGAGGGTGCAGACTAGGGATGGGGAGGGGTCTTGGCTGGCCTCACACGAGAGCCTACAGCATTCTGTGAGGGGATGGCTCAACCCTGGGCAGGAACCCGGGGCCCAGAAGCAGGCTTTGTGTTTGCTGTACAGATAGGGCTTCCTGAGGGGCTCCCCTGAGCTTCTGGCGTTCACTTCTCTTCTGCTGTTTCCCCCCTTGGGAAGTCATGCCTACATAAGCAGACATCTGAGGGGCTGGCCCAGGCCTTCCCACTTCTTCAGTGGCGGTGGCTGGCGGGGCCTCTGAGGTGTGGCACACAGGTTCCTAGAGGGCCTAGGGTTCTGCAACTTACCCTGATCCGTAGCAGCAGGTCGGCGTACCAGGCTGCTAAGCCCATCATGGAGGGGTAGGCCCGGGCCACCCACATGTCAGGTACAGTGTCGTAGAACAGAGCTGTGGACAGGTCTTCCATGTCTGTTGTGATGGTCAGCTCACCCTAAGGGACACGGTCACATTCTGGAGTTTGGATGTGGTCAGCGTAGGGGAGAGCCCTCTGCTGTGTGTCCCGAGTTATCTACATGGTGGCGCCTCCAGAGGTCATGGCCAGGCAGTAGCCAACCTCTGTGGCCTTTGTGGGAGGGTGCAGGATTTCAGACCGGGGAAGGAGGGCCTCAGACGAGGGTCGCACAGTCACACACTTGTGCTGTGTGGCTGTCCCTCTGCAGACTGGCCCATTGGCATGAGCCCCTGCCCCGGACGGCCCAGGGTTTTTAACCTTTAGCCCAAGGTTCAGTTCCTTGAGTGAGCGCCGCATCTCGTTGGTGAGGATGTTCATCCTTTCACATTCTTGGAAGGCAACGACCACGTAGGGAGTCTTCTCAGCAGCTTTTGCCATGATCTCTGTCATGTTGAAGGTCTCTGGAATCTTCTCAAGGATGTCATCTAGCACGGCCTTCACCTGGAAGCCAGTGCCGGGCGAGCCCGTGATGGCGGTGCCCCCCACCCGAGACGGCATCCCCAACAGCATCAGGGGCAGGGAGGGGCTGCTCAAACCTGAAGTCACAGCTCACAGGCCGAGGCTCGGGGAGAGAGGAGTGGGGTGGGTAGTCAGGAGTGCAGCTGTAGGGAGCAGCCACGCCTGCCAGGGCCGCCTGGTGCCTCCAGCAGGAATGCCCCACCTTCTTGCCCGGCGGTGCGGGCACGGGGCTCATTTGGCCCTCTGAGGGAACTGTACTAGCGCCGCCCTCCCCCATAAACGGAGTGGCACGCAGTGGTCACCCCACCATCCATCAGTAGACCTTTTCTTGGAGGCTGTTGTCTCAGTCCAACCTGGAACTATGCCACCCAGACTGTCGCTGAACTTGAGATTACGGGGGGGTGTGCTACACCTGTCTCAGGAGCAGATCTCTGGTTTCCATTTCGAGGCTGGTAGAAGTTCTAGACCCACTCCGCTGTTGGCCTTTTAACTCTGCTTTGACCTGTTCACTGCTGAGCACCAAGCTTAGCTGATGTGTGGCAGAGCTTTTCCACCAAGTGAGGAAGTGGGGAAGGTGCTAGAGCCTCGGGTGCCGAGGCAAGCCGGGCAAGAGCCCCCACCGTACTCCCATAGGCAGCCTCTGACAGCCTGTGCCCAGGCTGTCCTCTGAGCTCCTTGTCCTAGGGAGCACTCTGCTGTGCCCCAGAATTCTGTGCCCAAAGTGCTAGGCCAGTGATGCCTGGGACCAGCTGTAGACCACACCTTGATCCCAGAGTTTAGTTCCCAAGGCAGGGGACAGAGTGCCTGACTCAGAAGCCACCTAGGCGCTGTCCCCAGCCACGGCTGAGATGGCTCCAGCGTGCCATCCTCTGCTCCAGGCTCTGCCCGTCCCTGTTGCTGGGGGCATGGACAGGCCCTACCTTTTCCTCTCGGGACACCCCCGTGCCCGCTCCCGAGTCTGTCTCCTTGGGCTGCATTTCCAGGACTGTGCGGAACAGCTTCTCCGAGGTGACCGTCAGGAAGCCGATCTCCGCGTTGGGGTGCAGGCCGTACAGGTAAGGACTCTCGGGGGGAAGGTTCTCATCGATGTACTCATGGTAGCCCTGGGAAAGGCGGTTTATAACTGAGCCGCTGGCGCCCGCTGGCTTCTAGGCGTTTCTTAGCGGCAGCTCCCTTGTACTCTACCACCTTGTGCTCCTAGGTCAGCCCTCCCCAGTGTTGTGGGCCACCACGACAGGTTTCTGCTGTGCTGGGAGATGGAACCCAGGGCCTCGTGCATGCTAAGCACTCTGTCACCCCATCGACACCCTGGCGTCTGATAGGGCTTTTGTGGCATGGGCCCCTTTGGGAGTGGTCAGGATGGATTGGTCTTTGCTGATCTTGTCACATGTGCGGGACTTCCTCCCCCGCCCCCCCAAGCAGTGGCACCTCTGCCTACCTTATAGTCCAGGTTTGGGGGGATCTGAAAGCCGGGGGCCAGCTGCACTTCCCCTTCCAGCATCTCGACACGGATGTACTCCCCCAGGTAGGTCCTGCACAGCCGGCGGTCCCAGTCATCGGTGATGTGGCCTCCGTACATGATCTCCCCAAAAAGGTAGCGGAGGTCATCCCAGGGCACCTTGGGAAGGGGGCCAGTGTCAGGAGTGCCCCGCCCCCACCCTTCCAGCCTGTGAGGCCAGATCCCTCAGCAGGGCCTGCTCCCGGGCTGCTGGGTTCCAGGGTCACCTGTGACTGCCTCCGCTCCACCCCTGCTCTGCAGTGACTGACTGAGGCTAGCCCCTCAGCAGACACTCTCTGCTCTGGCTACCATCATTTCCTCCCTCATAGGGACATCCTGGGGGCTCTTCTGCTGGTGCCCTGGGTGCCACGGCCTCTGTCTGCCTCAACCACCGGTCTACACTCCACACAGCAGTTGGCTTCGGCCCGTGAGAGAGTTGGTGCTGGCCCCATGTCTTCCTTTGGCTAAAAGTCAGTTGTGTGTCTAACACGGCCCAGGGTCTCCTGACCCATCTCAACTGGCTTGGCCTCTCTGCTTAGTCACTATTTTATATATAACATATATGAATTATATATTATATATAAATATTTATATAGTATATTAACTGCCAGTAGCTCTCCCTTGTAGAGCCTTGCAGGCCTCTGTGAGAGCTGGGACTCAGGAAAGTCCAGCCAGAACCTTGCCTTCCTGGGGCTTCCAGAGCAGATGCGCGCGCACAGCCTGGCACTGGCTCCCCCTTGGGTCAGGTGGACTCCCCACCCTCTCTCTCCTTGTTGCCCTTCTTCTGTGGTGTCCCTCGCCCTTGCCCTAGGGCACTGGCCGAGACACACACAGTCTTTCAAAGCCTGGTTCACATGTCCCTTTATCTACAAAGCTACAGCATGTGGCCCGTTTCTGCTGTCCACAGCAGCCTGGGTGTGGGGAGGGGACTGCTTCTGCACACTGCCCTTTTCTGGCAGCCACTTCTTCACAAAATGTTGGAGGCTCCCTGGCCTGTGACAGGTGAGTCTTGTTGCTGAGTCTCTTTCTGTTTGGTTGAGCCTGTGGACCTGGCACCTGTTCAGCCTAACTCTCGGGGCTGCTGTGTGAGCACCACTGGGCCAGCCATG